GGATCTAGCTCTAACCCAATCATCATAGACTGCTAACTTACCTTTAACCCAGCACGAACTGTAACGACTATCAGCATTCCGTAAATCTCCAATGATGTACAGTCCGTGATTTGTTTCATAATGTATAGTTCACATATTTGTTACCATAAATTCAAAATCCAATGGCTACATTTTAAAGGAACGGTTTGGAACTGCTACTACCAGAATGAACTATGCCACACTGGAAGTGTTCATGCATATTTTAATGTACTTAAAATAACTGTGCACATTCAGGACTTAACTCTATACTGCGATGGACAAGCTATACAGTAATTGAACTCTGGCATATTCATGGATCTCTTTTATATTTCACCGTCTCTTTGCGTTCAGGACTGCGCAAATTGTACTTACAGTTGCATCCAGTGTTAGCCACCGTAAAAGCTTAATCCATTGATTATTTTCTTTTACTATGATCGAAATGTTTTTCGCTTAATTCTTAGTTGTTCATGTTATTAATATTATTTGATACGATAGCCTTATTGTGCTGTTATGCCTTTGCCAGGAGGCAAATCTTTCATCGCCGGAAGGTCATATGCCACGGGGTTTCATAACGTTTAAAATGAAAATTTTGAGTTTAAAAAAAACCCTCTCTAATATACCGAGTGCTCTATAACCCCGTGCACTGTATAGCTGTACCTTATGACCATCTTTGTATTTAACTTGTGAAGTCACGTTTTATTTCTAAGGCGTGTCAATTAGTTATGGAAATTTGGACATTGATACCTTATGTTAATTAAGCAAAAACAACGACCTGCCTCTTGCAGCACATTAAACATAGTAAGGTGAAGATATTAGCTGCATGACGCAGATGATCTGTGTATCCAATCTCATGTAATCCAGCGTTTGGGTATGATGATTTCACGCATTGTCCATGCAATCAGCATGTTCACTAAGTAAAATTTTCGGTATCTGGATGATTATAAAGGGTTAAAATAACATTAAGCTCAAGTGCTAAAACGGAGGATCAGCAATTCGTAAGAGCAGTTGCTTCAGGATTGAAAGTAACACTTAGAAATTTGTAAGCTGCACTTCAGAAAGAAAATAAACGTATATATTCCGAGAACTTGACTCATTTCATCCATAGTTACGAAGCCAAAAACCCCGTAACAAATATATTGTACCTCTTCTTTCGAATTGAACAAGTTCTTTCTGTCCAACACATCCTAATCGTAAATAAGTTTATTCAGCTATCAAGTTAAATTGATGATGTAAAGGCAAAGTTCAATACGGTTTCAAATGCAGTTGTAATGTTATCACGATGCGCCCTATAACAGTAGACCCAAATCTTCAAATACCATCGACCAAAACAACTGAGTTGAAATACATTAAAGGAAAGTATCATGGACGTACATGTACAGATAATACTGTTTTCAAGGTACTGAAAAAAGACTTGTAAGCAAAGTGAAGCGCCTTATATGAGGACTGATTGCCAAATTAAATGAACCAATAACCTTTAAAAATTCACGTGGCAATCTTGAATTAACGGCGAAAGTCAGTGTTGACGAGAATTCGTTGTGATTAAAATTCGAGAATTCAAAAACTGACACGCATCGTGTCTGGAGCTTAGGGTAAAGCAAAGGGAGAGACGATCTAAAACTAAAACAACACACGTGAAAGTGGTATTAAATTTTCTTATTCTACAATAAATTAAAAAATAGGATAAATTTTATTATTTCTAAACGCTAAATTTCTTGCTCAAATTCATGCGGTCAAACGTGAATAAGTCGACTTACCTAGCAAAAGGACACACACCTCTCGAGCGGACTCGTATTTGGCCTGGAGACATTCAAAGCCATGGGGTCCGACCGGCTTGAATTTAGAACATTCGGCAAAGCACCCCTGCCTGGTTGTGTTGGATTCGTGGAAAAGACCAGGTAGATTGGCATATTGTAGATATTGGTCGGTGGCGGTGATGACACCTGGATAAAAAAAGTTATATCTGATTTCGTTTACAAAAGCAAACTTCTTTTTGGGTAATTTTGTATGACAGTTAGGTGATTACACAATTTTAGGAAAATTCTTTTTTCCCTACTAGTACTAGCCATCTTAGGTTAAAGAAAAATTACAAAAAAATTCCAAACTTTGGATGCGACGCCATTTGATAGGATTGTAGAAACAACAAAAAAAAAAACAAATATCATTCTTAGTTAAGTGAACATTCAAATTTTTATCATTACTTACCAAATAAGCTGACAGCAACAATTAAATGGTAGTCAATCAGCATCTTAATGTTCTGATCTGCGAGAGTTATTTGGCTTGAAGGGCATTGACCGATTCAGCGCAAACGTTTGATTGTTTTATATACACTGAAATGTCTTAAGTGTTGGCAACACGGATCGATATATAGAAAATATCCATTTACGGATAATTAATTAGGCATACTCTAATTTCGCTCCTTCTGTTAGTCAATTTACCTATCAAAATCTTCGATCGAACATGCACCTGGTCATTTGCCACGAACATTAACAGAATAAAAGATGGAATGCGATTTTACCAGTGCCTTCTAATGTTTCACCGGGTTGTAACAGGATTGTGATAAATTATCACATCGTATGATTATTTCACTCATATCACTGATTTCCCGCCTGTGGGTCACGTGAGCGGGAGTATAAATTTTCAATATCTTTTCTAATTTTATTTGTGGTAACTTTAAACAATGTCTCTGCTATTCAGACAAATTATTTTGACAATTTATTTACTGGTACTACATATAATTTAACGATGACTTGCACATAAATCTTTTGTCACCAAACTTAATTTTGATTAACCTGAAAAATTAGGGAGGTATAGGGTGGCTGAGTGGGGGGCGGGGAGGATGATTCGGAAGTACCTTTATTTTGTCCTGCAGTTGCACATCTTGAATGTGTTTGGGTCGCTGATATATTATGCGGCAGAAGGATGCTCGATTTTTCAATTCCACAAGCCAGGATTCATTCACTGATAAAATGGCATATTCGATAAAGTTGGCGAAATCGGACAAAACACTGGGCGAAACATTGTTTTGGCTGCACAATTTAGGCCCTGTTGCACGCTCGTGGAAAACGTACTTCTTTTTGGAACGTTTTAGATAGAGGGCCTATCTGAACTGGAGTAGTTATTAAAGAAACTGTACATTGAAATGAAAAGGAAGATGAAGGATTGTTTGATACTGTCGTTCTCACATGTCTGATTGCACTGTGGTTGGTCTCGTGAACTAGTGTAATGTAATGCAAATTGCTATTGCCCGCCTGGCATATAGTGGTTTTAACTCCCAAGGACCTCGAGGTGAACTTTGTACAGGCATACGGTGACCGATGAATTGATTTTTTTTTTTTTTTTTTTTTTTTTTTGGTTTTACATAGTAAAGCAATATGGAATTTTATGCAAGATACAGCGTCTTCGTTAGCATACGGCCTCTCGTTAATTTGTTTTGAGTAACCCGCTTCGAATACAGGTGAATTAAGTGAATGATTGTTTAATCAGCAATTGTTAAGTAACGGTAACTATGTGAAACCGGTCCTGACTCATATTTCTCACTCTGCAGTGAACAAAGTAGATGCGTCAGTATTGTGTTAGGTGTGACACCATTGTGTTATTAAAAGATGTGAATGCAAGTATATAATCTCTTCTTCATGACGATGTAACTCCAACACGACCATATTGATTATTTGTAATCGGCAGGTAAATATTTCTGAAACAAAAATATTCCAGCAACCCACTGCCATTTCCGCAACAATTGTACTGAGTTTGTTATATATTTTTATTGAAATAAATTTCCAGTTTTTGCAAAAAAAGTATGTGACTAATGCTTTTACATATCAGTTTGCACCACCACATTTCCACAAAAGTGTATCTCCATTTGAATAAATAAGACAAAAACAAGCTTACAGGAGTGCCTTTCCAACGTATCAAGATGCCTTTAAATCATTTTCATTACATTCATACATATTTGATAGTAGTGAGTCATTTATCTTCGCCCTTATAACTTTCTGGAATATGGCAGCAGCTTGGTGTAGAGATATTTTCCAGCATACCAGCATGTTCAATTTCTGAATCAGTGGCTTTTACAATTACTCAAGATCTCTTAACAGAGAGCTAGCCCAATGAATCATCCCCATACCACACCATACTCCCTCTTGTCACATTTTAAAAATAAAATAAGTGCAAAGTATGACATTTTTTCCATTCAGCTGCACTGGGGGTGGGGGTTTCTTCTGTGTTACTATTATTTTTTTTCATAACAAACAAAAATTAAATAAGAAAAACCCTTTATTTTACACATCACCAAAGTCACTGGCATACATTTGACAAAAAGCAAAATGCTGCTTGATATTAAGGTAATTATAAATTTTCCATAAAAAGAGAGCTGTTCAACGCAAATAATGGATGCCACTGGATGTCAAGAAAAGATACACTGAGGGCATCACTGCCCTAAACTGTCAACAGCAAAAGATAACAGGAAATTAAATCTTTATATAGATATGGAATACAATTTAGTCCAGGGTTCACAAGCAATCAATTTAGTGGATATAACCTGTAAGATGACTTGTGATTTGTAGGCATAAACCTAATGGAATGTCATTCTGTGATATTCATTATATAAGAACATGACTGAGATCTATATGAGCTTTCAAACATTCTAGTTAAACTGAACTCTATTGATGTGTTTTTTTAAAAATCTATCATATAACTATTAAATAGAGTACCAATGACTATGATAACACCAAATTTCACCAACAAAACACTGATAAGCATCTCTAAAGGAACTCACAGAAGAAACTTTCAGAACAGTTTACATGCTTTGTTTACCAACAGCACTGCATAACCAATATATAAGAATTACATGAGCACATTAACAGCATGTCATAGTGCAACACCCTCCCAACATAAAGAACAAGCCTATGTGCAAGAGAGCATGGCAAAGCATATGATACACTATAAATACTTCAGTCCTCCCACTTCCCTTCTTGTTGTTTCTGAAGTATTTATTTATTTACTTATTTACTTATTTATTTATTTATTTGAACACTGCATGTGAAGTAGCGATCAGCCATATACCTTTCTTAAGATTCTTTGCTTATATTGCACACATAATTTTTTTAAAATTGAGAAAATAAAAGGAAATCTCAAATTGAAAGTTTGCGTACAGACATAACTCCCTATTTGCTCATATATTTGTTATACACAAAGAAACTGGTGAAAAAAAAATAAATGCCACTGGTTTCTAAGGATAGTGTTAAAATTTTGATCTGAACTAGCTATGGTCACTAACTGAAACCCAAATTAAAATTAAACCACACTAACTCTGTCCAAACACCTTAACTTTCACTCTTGTAAACAGTTATTATATGCAAGATAACATAAGGCATAACATATGTTCATAACATTATACCCACTGATAAATCCTCACACATTTAAAATGAATATGGCCACATTTCCCTTTCAAATAAAACAAATACAGTAAGAAAGTGTTAAATATTAAGTCATACACTGCCTCCACTGACTTAAGAATAGCTGAAAGTGAATAAACTTGCATGTTAAAAACTCAGGAAATTGATTATGTTTATCTTGATGTGGGAACAAGGAAGCTCAATTACTAATTCTAAAACTAGAGAGTACTATAAGACCATATGGAGAAGATAACTACTGAATGATACAACCAACAAAACTTCTAAAATCTGTCCACCCTGAAAATGATCAAAATTTTGTGGAATAATACTTGAGATTTCTTGTCCACTAACAAACACAAATAAATAAATAGATAAATAAAAAAAAAAAAAAAAAAAAAACTTCACTGGCAGAAGTAATCAGTTATTACTGTATTGAATTTATTTGACTTGACATATTGGTTGTGAGTGACGTGATTGTGCTGAAAGTGATTGTGCTAGATGTGACAGCCTTCCCCAAAAAGAAGATTTTACCTCCAATTCATCACATTTCTGAAGTATGAAAATAATGGGAGGAGAATCACAATACTGAACTCCAATAAATAAAGGATAGCCATAAAACACTGTTATCATTATCATGTTATCATATCATTATCATTAAAGAACGCTGCCTCCTTTTCTGGAATAAAATATTGATGCCCTTGTGTTGCATTTTATAATTTATACTTTTCATTTATATAATTCAGATGTATTTGAATTTTTAGAATTTTAAAGCTTCCAGATCAATAAATACTACATAATTCCAAAAAGATAAAAAAATAAATATTTGGTCTGACACTAGATTTCAAGCATCAAGATAATTTGCCATATTTTCTCTTGTTTACAAGTGAACATTGTCAAAACAGATGACCAACCTTTAAGATGAAACTAATCACAGTAAAACAAGAAAAGTTAAATATCTCTAAGGAGCAAAAAGCGTTCCAGAATTCTCTTGGGAAAGTTAACTTATGGACAGGTGATACAGTTAGTATACATATCCCCCTGGCGGTGGTTTTTCACCCTCTGGAAGAACTTCAGAAACATTTGACTCTAACCTGCTGTAGTCTTTACTGTTTGGCCGTCTGGTTTTTGTGTTTCTACCCTCAACTACAAAGGCAATTATCTGAAAAGAATAAAAAAACAATCTTTAATGCACAGATCAAAATTAAGAAATGAACCTCATATTGCACAATAACAAAATCAAAATATGGCATCAACTTACAAGTTTTATTCCAAAATAAAAGGGGGGGGGGAATAAACAATCTCTAATCAACAATTGTGCTGTTATCTGTCATCAAGATATCAGATGTCACTGCCACAGATGCAACTGGGTCAGAATGAAATTCCTTGAAACTGGGAAATCTTTAGAAACCCCCAGAGCAAGAGGTTGCCCAGAGTTATCTCATACATGCAAATCAACATCCTTGCAATACATTAAGCTCTATGGGGTGGGCGAGAGTAGGGGTGGGTGTGGGCATGGAGGGATTTTGCCACAACTATCTCTTAATTAATTAAAATAATTAAGCTATATAACTAACTTTCTACCTGTTGTGGATCACTTTGTGTCACACAGCAGAGATGTCAATTAAATTTAGGACAAGCGGTATCACTTACCTTTTGCTTGTTGTGGAACACAATATATCCCACAATACAGAGGATCACCACTGTAAAGAAATAGGCAATGAAGTGGCTCTTTGGTCTATCCTCTTCTGGTTGTAGCTTTACAGCTAACCCAGGCTTGCGAAAGCGGACACCTGTGGCACTTCCTTAAACAAACATAAAAATAAGGTGTAAATAAAGGGATAATCTGATACAAAGAAGAATGTGTTTGAACTAGAAGTGTGGGCTGGCTATAATATATGTAAGTTAAGTGCTTAGATTAACTAGTTTATGAAGTATAGGAATTTCTTTGAAATTCCAAGAGCTTCATTTTTTATAATTTTAAACTTTTTCAGAGTTTATCATTTTGAGACACTCACAAAAATGTACATTCTGACAAAGCCATGTTTTTACAGTTAACTGAATAATCATTATACATATTGCTGTAGGTAATCTATTTGGCATATCAAACTTTTTAAATTTCTCCTTGAAACAGGTGAAATACAAGCTCATTCCTCAGAAGTTTATGATGTGGTGCCCAAAATGTGATTGGCTATCATTATATGAACAGAGGATATATTATTGGTTTACATAGCAAAGCAAAATGAAATTTTCTGCAAGATGTTTTTCTGCAAGATGTCTGTTTGAGGTTCCTACCAATTAAGTTTCTCAATGTTGTTGATATAAGTGCTGCACTATAAGGCTATGGCTTAACTATTTGTAAAAATCAATAACAATAGCAGCAGCAGTAAAATCAAAACTAAAGAAGGATCCTTTGTGTCAAATAATGTCACAATTTTCATCAATTCAGAAATTAGGGGGTCAACCATACTTCATCAAGAACTGGAACATCTTCTGGGATATCAAGTGAAATAAAAACAAAATGGGGAATTCATATTGGTATCCTACTTGCTCAACCAAACAGAAATTTATCAGTGTTCTGATATCCTTTTTCTTTCAAAAAAAAAAAAAAAACTTGCTCCTTCTAAAATCCTCCACACACAGAACATACTACCCACTCTTATACCCCATTCACACTACGCTCAGTTATCCGGATAAATTGCGAATTAGGTCACAATTCGAATAAATGCAGCAGTGTGAACACAAGAGGATTTTTGTAATGCGCATTTTCAAAATCCTGCAAGCAAGGTGGATTTCTAAGCGCGATCCGGATAACTTACCGGAATCGATACCTGTACAGATCTTACTGCGCATGTGTGCAGATAAGTGCGGGTATCTATGAATGCTTGTTTATTACTTTAGCGATTGCACCAAACGTATTTGGACGTCACCACTCACTACAACATGAGGATCCAAACTTATTTTGCCACCTTATACTTCTCAAGAATGCTGGAATGTCTTTTGAGTTGCATTTGTCGTAACAAATTTTTGTTGGTATTTTAAGATTTCCTGTGCGGCGCATGCACGAGTGTTCAAAACAGGAAGTTAAACCTGAAATTTTCAACGTGTAATTCGGTTTCGCTTAGCGTGTGTGAACGCAATACCGAATCGAATTCCTCAAGAAAAATTTGGATTGTAGAAATGCGCATTTTTGCAACTGTAGTGTGAATGGGGTATTAGTAACTTAAGTCCTACTGTGACAATAGGTTTTATTCCAAACCAAGAATTTTCAAGATGGAGCACTTTGTTTGATTGTGAACCCCAAAGAACAAATTGTGTCTGTTTATTTAAAGGTGGCACTGTGAGCATAACAGTGCAAACTGTATGAGGAAAGCAGTGATAGCTGTCTCTGGGTTTGAGATTTATGATCTGAGCTGAAAGGTTGCTGGGTGCAAAAGTGTAAATGTGGTACAATGAACATTAGAACTTTATATAGCAAAATAATAATAATAATAATAAGATAAATAAATATATAAAACAATAAACATGACTGCAAAATAAAATTTCATGGAAATTTCAAAACTGTCTGTATAAACTGGTGAAATTTCCAGGAATATTTCCATTTTTTTTTGGTAACTGTATAGAGATCCAATGCTGACATAGAAAATGACATACCATCAGGTTTTTCAAAATACCCATAGTTGTTGTCTTGTTCACTCTCAAAAAAATCTGCAACCAGACAAAGCAAATAGGACTTTAAAACAGCAGAAGCAATTAAAAAAGTGAAAGTCTAGTAAGAAAACAGAGGGGAATGTAACAGTTTGCAGAGATATCAAAAGATTATTAACTGAAATAAGTAAAATCAACACCAGTGCAATAATAATGGCAACAACATCAATAAAATAGTTATTTACCAGAGAATGATAGGATTAAAATCAAAATGAAAAAAGCATAGAAATACAATATCAATAAGAAAGGCTTTAGGTCATATACTAGTAAATGCTCATTATTCACCTATTGGCACAAAAATTGCCTTAAGAAATTATCTAGTGCATATTTCTACTTTAGCTTACTTTTAAATTGACTAAAATGGCGAGACAAAGAAAAGGTGACATAAAGTATAATTAGACTAATTTTGTTTAATAAGTGGTACTTTTTGGGCTAATGTTTGCTGTCAAGCGTGGTTGCGTTAGTTGTGACAGTGCTGCACTTTATGTGTTTATTTCATATGATTGTGATTAAGATTGGTGTGAGATATAAGATACGAGGTGGGCACTACAAAAAGACATACCATCATTAGAGTTAAGCATGTTCTGATTATTTGCAGTTTCATCAGGCTCCCCTTCACCGTAGTCTACAACCATAAAATAATCACATTTAAATTTTCCATCATAAGTAAGTGAAAAGAAGCAGACACGATAACACAAGTACTTACTTTGGTGATGAGATAAAAGAAAGCACCATTAACAACAGGTGAAAAGAAAGACAAACTGCTAACCAATATCTGCAAAATCAATTTTTCCACCAACAGACCTAAATATTGCCAAAAAAGAATGAAGCGAAACATTTATCACAATTTAGCCACAGATAACTATGCTGGTGGTGAAAATCAAACTTACCATCTCCTTGGTTCTGATTTCCAATTGGAACGCCATTCCCAAGTTCTACTGTACTTCCTGAAGAGAGAAAGAGAATCTTGAAGATCTTAACAGAAAGGTTCACTCTTAAAGGTCATGGAAGTCACTTTGGAAGATATAATTTAATTTTAACTCCTCAACTATATTGCATTTTGTTGTCAGAGAGAGAGAGAGAGAGAAAGACGGAAAATGAAGCAGCTTCTAAAAGATAAAGCATCAGAGTCTGAACTCTATAATTCTGGCTTTCATTAAATTGGATTCTTTTTAATCAGGATGATTTCACTGTTTGAAACATATTTTTAAAATTTATAGCCATAATACAAAGTATTTCTTTGACTGGCCCACTTAGTACTGAAACTTTCAACTTATTTCTATGTTGTTGCAACACATATACAATTTCACTAAATATTTCAAACCTCCACGAGCTAATGCTTGGTGATAATGCAGTACAACTGCGTAGTTAATGTAACAGCTTGACATCCATTATTCACTAAAGCAACTGCTGAATTATTCACTCTAATAGGATATATACAGGTATGAGTGTGCGTGTGTGTGTGTGTGTGTGTATCAAGGACGGATCCAGAGATATTTTCTGACAGTCTTCCACATTATCTTTGTTGATCTATCCTCCATTTTTGACCGTCTTCTGACAGAAAACATTAGATGCCCGACAATGTAACTTGAAAATCTGACCGTCTTCCGGAAGACCCAGAAGACGGCCTAAATCCGCCC